ATTGGGAGCATGTATAAAGTAAAGAGAATTGGTCCTAGCACTGATCCCTGTGGTACTCCACAGGTAACCTTTGAGCATGAGGAAGATCTATCATTAAAATGAACAAACTGAAATCGATCAGATTTGTCATAATTTACTCCATCCATCCATAGACTGTCAGTATCTGCAGGAATCTATGGCTGAAAGGCGGTACATCCTAGACAGGTCGCCATTCCATCACAAGACAATCATTGACTTCTTTTGGATTCATTTGAATTCATTAGATTTTGGTCGTAGATAAGACACTGTCTGGATGGAGTAAAGAGTGGGTAACAGTAGAGTAGCTGCAGAGATGTCTGTTAAACTACGACTCTGAACTCTGGTCTATCAGGGTTTTGAGAACTAATACATTTGTCCAGATTTCTAGAAAGTAGAGCTGCTTCATCTAGAGTGGGATGGATGCCGTCTCTCCCAATCAGACCAGGTTTTCTCATCAGCCCATAACATCTTCAGTAGACCACCTAGACAGTCAGAACTGCAGAACCTCCTCTGACTGCAGGTCCAACTCAGTTTGACACAGATTCCCAGGTGGATTCAGGTCTGGACTTTAACTAGGCCATTCTGATCTGCTCTAATCAGACATCCATCGTCTGTCTGATTAAATGTTCAGAGTGATTCAGCTGAAAGGTGAACTTGCATGTCAGTATCGGGTCGTCTGCAGCCTCTAACTCGTTTTCCTCCAGGATGGTCCTGATCAGGTCAGAATCTGGTCCTGATCAGGTCAGAATCAGGCCTGCAGTATCAGCATTAACCGATGTTATAAAATGTGGAAATAAATCAGACACTCTGTGTGGACAATAAATCATCTTTATGTGCCGTTCTGCACTGATGAACATTTATTAACAGAGCTTAGAGTGTAGGAAGTCCACATAATGAAACAATGCTTCTGTTAATCAGCAATGTTTATATATTTTTAGTTTGTTGAACGTTTTTCCCTTAACGTGTCTCATTGGTCAGGATAATACGGCGTCACTGGATATTTAAATAATTCTGTTCATCCTTTATTCACATCAGCAGTATCATTTATGGTTGAATAAAGCAGGTAGACCCGTTCCTCCCCTCACCGATTTATCCTCTCTGTCTGCAGGACCTGGGCGGGGTGAGCCCCCCTCAGAGGAACTGGAAGGGGATCGCCATCGCCTTGCTGGTCATCCTGGTGGTCTGCTCCATGATCACCATGTCCGTCATCCTCCTAACGCCAGGTAAATTCTGGACCTGGTTCTGTTCTTGATCTCCCAGGCTGGTTGGGTTCTGATGAGTGAAGGACCGTCACTACATCAATAACTGGGTTTCTGAAACTTATTGCTTTGTTTCAGTCGCTGTTTAATGCTTTTAGACAAACCTCAGGGTGTCAATAACTACTTTGTGCTTTGGTTCTCTTGTTCACCTTTAATTCACCTGTTTTAATTCAGCCAAAAATAAAGAAGAGGCAGAAATCACTGCATTAATTAAACACATTTTACTTTGTTTTTCCTGGAACCTTTTTCCTTCAGTGGTTTTAAATGAAGAGCTTTAAAAATATTTAACCTCAAACCTTCAACCTCCTCTGTTTTGTTGAGGAATGAAACTCAGCAAAGTTAAATCTGGGAAGATTCAGATGCAGCTGTGCAAAGTTGAATACCTCTGGATTGTTGATTTGGGTTTTATGGAGCGATGGACCTCAGTGTTCATCACAGAATGGCTTCAGAATCAGAGAGAAATGCAGA